GTAACGGCGGTACATGTATTCCGTTACTCCCCAACACTGCATACAGGTATATGTTTAGAAACAAAGGGTGCAAAACCAAGAGTGCTGACTCCTTATTATTCCATCTAAATATCTCATCTCATTCAAATGTGGCTTCCAAAAAAAACAGACAAAGAAAAAAAACGAAGAAAAAACGATCTATATACATACTGAATACTGAACCTAACATACTGAATCATTACCTGATGTGTCGGAATTTTATGTTTTCCTTTACATAAAGATATTTCCATTACGAATGAATGCAAAAAAAGGCACATATTTGTGAAGAAAACTTTACAAGAATTCAGGAAGTAAGTTAAAAGTTTCCCAGGGAAGTCCTCCAGATCCCACTTAATCTCACTTAATGTGTCCTCCTCAAAAACCTCAAATTAAACCTACAAACTATTTAAGAAAACATGTTTCTCACTTTGTTTGTTTTTTTAAATGACACCACATGTCTTTTCAGTGTTGTGAAACAGATAGAGTTACATCCGGATTAAAAATGCTCTATTTGTCTTTTCTTTAATACGAGCCAGATGTTACCTCCAGCCCCGGCCTGCTGTCACTCACCCCGCCTTTGACCAATCGCAGTGGGCATAAACTCCTCCTTCCCTCCCCGTGGAGTTTGCGGGGGCTCGGTGGAGAGGAGGAGTGAGTAAAGATCTCTTTCTGAGTCCAGCTGTGCTTCTCTCCTGCTGCTCCCTCTCATAGCGCAGCGCTGCTCGATCACTCAGGCTGTGCAATGGAGAGATGGGCGATGCTGGCCGCGTGCGTGTTGCTGTGCTGCAGCTGCACTATGGTTACTGCCATCCAGAGGGCTGACATGTTTCCTTACGGCACTTTAAATGGAGATTCGGTGTTGAGAGAGGGCGACGATGAGACGTCCAAAGTGCTGTCCCTTCCCAGACCCTTGCACTTCTACAACTGCCCTTTCTCCCAGCTATACGTAAGTATGACTTCATTACTATTCATTTGCACTCAGTCGAGGTTGTCTATTTTGTGAGCGCCTAAAAAAATTCGCTGAAGTTCCCCCTTCACGTGTCTCAGGTGATATTTGCAACTGTTGAATAATCTGCGCAGGAGAGTTGTGCTGCTGTTTCCCCTCTGCTCAATGGAGCGATTCATTCACGGCTGAATAAAAAAAAAAAAGTCGGGACATTGACAACAGAGGACATTGGGTTTATTATCATGTGTACTCTTTTTTTCACGAAGGACCAATGTTTGCATAGGATTTCAACAAACTGCGCTCCTAATATTTAAATCCAAATCTTTCAGCAACTTCACTTTTATATTCAGCAGATGTCAACAGATGCAAATGAATTAACTCTTTTTCTTTTACCATAACTGCTGTAGGAGCATCCAGTATAAGTAAAAGTGTTGCTCAGTCAAATGTACTTAATGTTTTAAAAGTAAAAGTAATTATTGTACAGAGTGCCTCCTGTCAGAGCCTGCAAAGTAGCCATGCTGCAAAGTAGGAGTGAACCAATGGGTTCAAAGGAAAAAAGCCACTTAAAATTTCTACTTAACTATTTTCTAACTGACTATTATTTGATAGCTTGCAGATCTGGGAAAATAACTCAAAATATAACCAAGAAATGAATGATGTTGTATTGTTCTTGTTTGAGATCAACAACCTTTTTTAGATCCAAAGAAAGTGGTAAACTGTTATTATTCTCACATAAAAATTGAACTAAGTCTCAGCAATGCACTTCTACAACACCATGGGCTGGTATGTGATAAATAGAGATTATGTTGAACTGTGACTCATGCAAGCTATCCAAGGAGAATCAAAGATTTCAATATAGATAGATAGATAGATAGATAGATAGATAGATAGATAGATAGATAGATAAATAGATAGATAGATAGATAGATAAATAGATAGATAGATAGATAGATAGATAGATAGATAGATAGATAGATAGATAGATAGGTTTAAGTGGTAGCAACATTGCACTGAATAATACTGTCACATGTGAGAAGGCTCATTATGCAACGTGGCCACTTTAATAATCAGGAATACCAATATTAATGCTTTGGTGTGTACATCACTTTAACACAGCAGCTGGGTGGGGCTTCTGTGCTCACAGTCAAAGGTTTGGGCTCTCAATGACCATATTAGGGATAGTCCCTCTGACTGATGTCATACAGGGCCAAGAGTAGAAAAAAATGATCTTTTGACTCACAGGGATCTATCTACAGCCTTGTAAAAATCTCCTTCTAAAATGTTGTGAAATAGCATCAAATGGAAATATTGAGTACAGCTGTGGCTGCATGTGGTCAGAACTTTTCTAAATCTTGATCAGAAAAATTGGGAGGGCACCCCGAGGTTGTTCCAGTGGTTTTTGAGGAAAATAGGGGTTCATTATGTGGTTCCTGGAGTCCATGAAGGGGTTCTAGTGGTTTACAAGGGCGAATGGGTTCATTAGGAGGTTTGTTGGGTTCGTGATAGTATTCCAAATATTCCAAACTAAAGCTTTCCCTCCCTTTAGGTGGCCACCAATGGCATCATATCAGCCCAGGACTTGCCAATGGAGAAGCAATACGTTGATGACGGATTCCCCACAGACTTCCCTGTGGTGGCTCCATTCCTGGCTGACATTGACACAAGCGGAGGGCGCGGACAGATTTACTACAGGGTGACAGAAACACCCAGTGTGCTCAACAGAGTCGCACAGGTGTGTAATGATTACAGTTTTAGTGTTGAAAACTCATAAGATGCTATAAAAACACTAGAGAAAAAATACCTGTTGAACTTTAATTAACTACAGATTTGGTTTGTCTCAATCCATCAGCTCAGTGTTTGTCTTTCATTCCCTTATTTCATGTGTCGTCCTTTCCCTTCCTCCCTCATTCGTTCATTCATCTCCTCGCCTAGGAAGTACACCGGGGGTTCCCAGATGCAAAGTTCACACCCACACATGCTGTAGTGGCAACGTGGGAAAATGTCCCGGCATACGAAGAACAAACTCGACCCCCTAGCCCTCCAAACAAGGTAAGATGTTTTGAGGAAGAGACACCAGTAGCTCCAGGGCCTCCCTGTGTAGAGGAGTCCTGTTTTATCATCATGTAAACAGCCCACATACCCCACACTAGTATGTTTTGGTTCTTGTGTGACACTTAATCCCAAATTCCTGGCTGTTGTGCATGACTTGTAATCACCCTAAGGTGGGGGAGATTATTTGTAATCCCTCTTCATCAAATTTGCCTCTTAACCTTTTTAAAGGGTCAAAGATCATCTTTAAGAGTCATCAAAGTGTCCCCCGCCCTCTTTATCCTCTCCTCCAGTTCACACACCAGTAGACACAAACATGTATTGACCATTGTTCCCCTCCGCCACTAATGGTTTTCCTCGTGTTTCACTCTTTAAATCCTTTTTTGTCTTTCCGTTTTGTGTAATCTAGGATAATTGTGCCATTTTTAAAATGCTGTATTTGCCATTTAAAGTATTGGTCGCTGATAGTTCCTGTTTGCTGTGTAACCACGGCCGTAATGACAGCTATCACTAAAGCATGATGATTCTCAGGAATGGTCAATATCAAATCAGTGGAGTCTAAGAATTCCTGCCTCTCGTGTGGGTGCAGAAGCAGTGCAGTCTTAATGTCATAATGCAGCTCAGCAGTGACCCTTGCATGAGACCTTTCCTGCTACCTACATGATCATATCTTTTAAAGTATAACAAAGTGTAGTGACACTAGCAGGGTTTAAATTATGGTGTATCCATCAGACATATATCAGTCAATATTAATACTTTCTAAAATCCTGTCCAAGCAAATGATTCAGAACTTAAAGAGCTGTATTAAGAAGAGTTAACAGGAGAAGCATTGGTTGCTTTGTTACAGTCCAACTTTGGGAGAGACTCCAAGTAAAGCCAGGCCTACTATTGATCAAACAAACAGCGCCTTGATGTTCTTGGTGTGCAGAATTTGGGGTGAAGAGGAATAAAGGGAGTGGTAGATTTAAGGAAAAACACCAGGGGATCTTTCTTTCTGTCAGCCCTCCTCATCTCTGTTTGTTCTTTTTGTTGCTCTCACGGTCTGCTTTCTTTTAGGCTTGTTTCTTCCTCCTTGAATGTTTAAAAAATTATCATAGAGTAGTCTAATGGGTACTGCAATATTAAGCCTCTTAACAGCTTTCGCTGGAGCTGATCGGGATTTACAAGCCCCCAAGTGGACAAGGGTTTTTTCTCTGAGCCCCAAAACTGGAATTTTGTCTTAGCTCAGTTCTTGACAACATGCTAATTAGAGGATGGAGCGTACCTCTTAAAGTACAAGAAGTGACGTGTTTTGCTATTTAAGCGCTCCGTGCTGCTCATCAGATTGGAGCGCTCTCTGATTTGCTTGAGTGGGTCTCTCTTTAGAGTGATAGCATCTTCCTTTGAAGTGATTAGCCAGAGGTGCTGGGTGGGGTGTGTGGAGGGCAGATTGGTTTGTGTGTGACCTGAAGTGTGTGATTGTTGGGGTGGGTACTGGGGGGTGTTGGGATGCTGTTTCAGGGGGAGGGGGAAAAATGTGTGGCGTCTGGACGTCGACTGTGGAGATGAAATAACAGGAAAACAGAAGAGAGAGAGAATTAAAGCGAAAGAGTGAAGGCTCACACTTCTAATAAGCTGAGCTGTGTTTTCGATGAAATTAGCCTTAGAGATGCTATTATCAAAATTGGACAGAAATTACTTGACTTAAAATACACACCCATACATCAACTAGCAGGGAGCTCAGTTAGCTAATTACCGCAGTCATTTCGCTAAAGACTGCTTTCAGTGTTTAGATCTTTTAAGAAGTGTTGACTTTACTTTGAGCGATTATCAGTAACACTAAGCAGCCTTAAGTTGGAAAAATATGTCATCCAAAGAAGCACTAGAGTTATCTTGATGCTAAAGGAGCAGGTTGACATTTCACACATACTCACTGTCTTGTCACAAATTAGATAAAAAAGATGACTATCTTAGCTTAACGCAGAGGCCAGATAAAAGGTCAACAGCTAGCCAGGCTCTGCAAGTTACAACAGCTACAGATTCACAAGCTAACTAATTGCATGTTATAACTTGCTTGTTCATCAAAGCAAAACTTGATAACTTCAGTTCCTTGTGTCCTACTGGCCATTGTCAACCTAGAAGCACGACTCCCATCAGAACAGGCATGTTTCATAGCATAAAGGTAAACAATCAGAAACGCCTGTGTGTCCCTTGAAGTGAGCATTCTCTCTGAGGTGATAAGTGGAGGCAAACCGCAGGTTTATCAGTTCATCTGTCAGATGTCTCTATTTATGTTTAATATTAATATATTGTAGGGGTGGGGAAAATGTTGTGATACCGTATAGTATTGCAGTACTTTGCTTGGGGGTATTATATCAATATAGGAACACCAAATATCAATATTTTATCAAATACATTTAAAAAACTCTGGGAATACTACGAGCAAAGGGGCTCATCTCATGCACCACCATCCTGAGATAACGTTAGCCAAGCAAACTTACATTAAATCGGCTATATTAAAAAAAACCC